CTCAATATCTTTGATTCCAATTAACAACATGGATTCTATAATCATATACACAAGGCTCTGATACCAAATGAAAGATTTATTATTCCTGAATCATGTATATGATTATAAAATACCCAAACAATATGAAATCAAAGTTATGATTGTGTGTGCCTTATTGGGGCATCACAAAATCGGAGGAAGGAGGACTATATGCCAGGATCTTCCTCTCTATGAACTATTCTGAAAGTGCAACCTCAGTGCGATAAGAGCATTACGGCTCATAGAGCCCAACCCCAATATAAATAGGCTAGGGATGAGACCTAGCCAGATACCCTATAAGAGTTTGTGTCCACTGGATCTACCCATCACGAAAAATTAGGGTCACACTAAAGCCTACACTACTGCCCAACTAGATCCAATACCAACAGATGTCATAAGCGCAACTCAATATGATCACAATGAGCTAGTCAAAATAATACAATTGGAATATTCATTAACTCAATTAATTTTAAAACACAAAATTAATTAATTAATATTTCCCACATAAATAAAAATTTCCAAAATATGGAAGTTGGATATGCCTTATACTTTACATTCATGTCTTTGGTTTATTTTCTCTTTTTCTTTTTTAGTAGTTTGAATTTGAACTCATGAATATCTACTACTACTTAGGGTTTTAAGTCTATTTATATTTCCCTTATAAACAAAATATTTTGTAACGAGTGCAGTGAGTAAAATATAGTATATATTGTTGAATGTAACCCACATTGGGTGAATCAGAATAAATCTATATATTTATTTTTTTTCCTTTCTTTCTTTTCTGTTTTGCAATTTATGCCTGATTTTTTGCTTCAACGGTGGCTATCAATAATATAGGTCTTTCAACGGATGAATTAGTATTGGATAGAAATAGAGTTTTTTTTAATTTTTTCTCTTTTTGTGCATGTGAAGTTGTATCACTAGCTTTATTATAAGCAAATCACCACTAAAATTGAGTAGATAGGAGATGTTTGGTGTAGTGATACAAATGTTATGAATATCCAAAACTCTCATGTTTGGTATTACAATTGAAATTCACCTCTTTTTACTATTTGAAATTCCTATGCGTGATTGGGGAAATTTCTTCTGTAAATCGGATGCATCCAAGTTGAACTTTTTTTTACCAAAAATAGAAAGCTTTCTTCACATTTAATCTATATCTTTTTATGTATTTCCCATCAAATCCCAAATTTTTACTACTTTGGACAGATGTATGATGCATCTGATGTACCAAAAAAGTGCTCAATGGTTGGCCCCTACATAGGTCTCACATATTAAGTGGGTCTCTTGCATAAAGATAAACCAATCCCTATTTTTGGTTTTTCTTAAAAAAAATGAAATAGTGTAAAAAAAATCAAAATCATTCATTTTAAAAGTTCTGAAGAACTTCCTAATTTGTTATTAGAAAAAAGTGAGACTGAAATTGGGCTCTTTGACCAAATAGGGGTTTTCATCCCTTTAATTTTCCTATTTGATATTCAATTCCTGGTATTTACCAATAAGGGTCTTTTAGGGTGTGCATGTCAATCATTCTGTTCTTTAGCATTGTTTCTAAAAAGAAACAATTCTTTTCTATTTATGTATCTTGGAACAGTTTCTCAGAAAAAAATGTTTGATAACATGTTCTATTTTTATTCTGAGAATGAGAATTGTGTTTGATAACACAACAAATAATTTAACAAAAAATAATTCCTATTAAGCATAAAAGAATTTCGGATCATCATTTTCCTTTTCATATGGTGTGGTGGTGGCGACAGCAACGATGGTGGCGTAGAGGTGGCGATGGTGGTGGTGACGGTGGCGTGGTGATGGTAATGATGGTGGTGGTAGTGGCTGCAGCGATGGCGGTGGCAGTGTGGTGATGATAGTGGTGGTGGTGATGACAATAGTGGCTGCAGCGATGGTAGTTATGGTTGGTGGCAATACTGGTGATTGTGGCGGTAGTGGTGGTAATGGTAATGGTAGCGATAGCGGCAATGGCTGCGATGATGACGTATGGTGGCGGTGGTGGTGATGGCATGGTGGCAGTGATGGTGGCGATGACATTGCGATGGTGGTGGTGACAACAACGACAGCAAGATAGTGGTGGTGGTCGTGTCGGGATAATGGTGGTGGTGATGCTGGTGGAGATGGTAGTGGTGAAAAATGATTGACAGAGACAAGTGTTTCTCATTTTGTGTCTAAAAACAAAAAAGCAGAAATTTTTTATTTTTTTTTTGTTCCCTAGCACAAAAATTAAACCGATTCATCCCTAGAACAAAAAAATAAATCGGTTTTACCAAACGAGTTTTCTATCCATTTCTATTCTCGGGAACAAAAATAAAAAAAAAAAAACTCATTCCGAGAAGGTTGTCATACACACTTTTAGTGCCGCGACGGGGGTAGGGGAGGGGTCTTAGCGGCACTGAGTGCCGCGACCCCGCCCCCTTGGGGCACTCACACGATTGTGCCAAATGGCATGATCCTGTTACCATAGGCAGTCCCGTTACCGTAAAATTTCAGAAGATCATAACTTTCGACTCGGGTATCCAAATCTATTTTTTTGTATTTCAAATAATTTTTCGAGATCTACATAATGACACCTCATTTGGCATATTTTATCTCTCACAAATATAATTCAAATTTGTAACAATGGTACCACAATCATAAGAAAAAGACTACGATAACATACTGGCCATGCTTGATGCCTTTGAATGTATCATTTATCCCTGCTTTGTTCCTTCTTTCCCTAATACTAGGGTTCTCCATTTTTGCTTCCACTTTTTCTTCGTTTTTTTTTTCTTCACAAAAAACAAAGCAGGGATAGATGATAACATGTTGGCCATACTTGATGCCTCTGAAGCTATCGTCTATCCCTATTCCGTTCCTTCTTTCCCTACTGCTAGGGTTCTCCATTTTTGCTCCCACTTTTTCTTCGTTTTTTTTTCTTCACAAAAATAAATTTTGAAATTAACTATTGTCTCTCACAGGTGCTGCTATAACTTTAACAGACAAAAATTCAATTAATTAAAATCTTAATAAAACTGATTTGAAAATCGAGGAAGTTAAACAAATCAAGAGTTTCTACCTTTTTCCACCAAAACTAGGCAAACATCATATGTTATTATCCTACATATACTTCTCGATTTAAAAACTCTTGTGATTGTGATACCATTATTACAAATTCGAATTATGTTTGTGAGAGATAAAATATGCCAAATGAGATGTCATTGTGTAGATCTCAAAAAAGTTATGTAAAATCCAAAAAAAAATCATCTGATTTGAATACTTGAATCAAAAGTTATGGTCGTCCAAAATTTTATGGTAACAGAATTATACCACTTGGCACAATCATGTGAGTGCCCCAAGCGGGGGTTGCGACACTCACCTTAAAAAAGAGAAAATATTATGTGAGTGCCCCAAAGGGAGTCGCAACACTCACTTGGCTGAAATTCCCGTGGTATTAGACAATCTCCATTAATAAATACCGAAAAACAAATACTATATAGAAAAATTAAAAGGATCAAACACCACCCTCTGGACAAAGAGCCGTGAAATTGCCGTCACACCTTTCTAAATTTTCAATCGGGGACATGAAAAAGTGAAAATTGCAAAAACCCATTTATTATATAGAAAAGTTTTTAGATAGGTCTTATCAGCACTTAATTAACATATTTCGAAAAATTGTTAATAACTCACTTTTTTAACTACCTTTTTTTTGTGAGGAAATACCCTTTATATTATAATTTATGTGAATTTTATTAAATAACTTAGGCTCGCTTTTTATTAATGAGCCCAACATGAATTGTTTTTTTTTGGCGGACGTGAAATTTTATTTTAACCTCAAAACGATGTTATTTGAAATTTCAAAATATTACTTTATTTTTAATCGAAGAAACACTATATATTTAAATAATGAGGTAAGATTTTTTTACACCAATATAAGAATAATAAATTTTGCACTTAATTTTAATTATTAATTTTTCTATACTTGACTATTATAGTTTATTGAAAATTAATAATAAATGAATAAAAATAATTCAATTAATACAATTACTTGATGAACGAAAAATCAACGACTAAGATTGAATGTAAGATTTATTATACTTACATCGATATAAATTCATCTTGTCCCTTAAAGAATAGTATTTTTAATAAATACTATAAAATAAGATTCATACAACTTTCTAATGTTACTATAAAATAAGATTCATACGACTTTATACATATAAAATTGAGTAAATATCATTTTGGATCCTTAACAGAGAACACGGTTTCCACTTTAGTCCTTTACAAAAAATAATTAGTCGGTTGGTCCCTATGATATTCAAAGTGGACCCGTTTTAGTCTTTTTGAGGGACTAATATGGATCTTTTTTGAGTTTGTGAGGGACCACGATTTCAAATAAATAGGTCCACTTTGAATTTTTTAGGGATCTCGAGATTAATCTTTTTGTAAGGGACTAAAATAGAGACCATATTTTTTGTTTGGGATCAAAAAAAATATTTACTCTATAAAATAAGAAAAATATCAGTTTATCGTGTTATAAGAATGACATTGTTCCTTTTTGAAACAAAGATCTGATTTTGTACTTTGGCTTCTTCTTTTTTGAAGGGTGGGTCCCACACTTAATTTGTGTATTAAGTTCAAAAACTTTTTTCAACTTTTTTCATATGAGATGACAAAAGGGAACCGATAAAATAATAAGTGGTAAAGATCTTCATGGTTGGCTTTTCTCCCGCAGTTATCCATACAGTCAGTAAAATGTGAACAAGACTTTGATATATATAATCTTAAAAGACATTTCTACTTTAAATTTGATTAGGCAGATAAAGACATGTGCCCCATCCGTGTTCTTTTTTTTTTTTTAGCACAAGCCCCATCCGTGTTCTTGCCTCTATATAAACCAAGCTTAACTCAAACGGTTCATTCATATTGTCTTCAAAAAAAAACCATAGCCTACCGTAGTATTCCATCCATCATATTTCGTCATTCCCATTAACCCGCAAACTGCGGGTATTCAGAGAGAGCGAAGGTGCTACGCGCGTGTATGGAGATCATTGCTATTTTCCTTTGCATTTTTCTCTTTTTCTCAACTCTCCTTTCACATCCATTAATAAAGAAACACATAAAGAAACATGAACACATAGCTAAGCCTAAGCTTCCCCCAGGCTCAATGGGTTGGCCTTATATTGGAGAAACTCTACAACTCTATTCTCAGGACCCTAACATCTTCTTTGCTTCAAAGCAGAAAAGGTTCTTAAACTTTGATCATTTTTTTATTTATTTTAAAAAGCTTTGTTTTATGCATGGAGCTTAAACTTGGTGATGGTGCTAACTTTAATTCTACATATATCTTAATCAGATATGGGGAAATTTTCAAAACACACATACTAGGTTGTCCATGTGTGATGTTGGGAAGCCCTGAAGCTGCACGGTTTGTGTTGGTGACACATGCTCACTTGTTCAAGCCTACATACCCCAAAAGCAAAGAGAAACTAATAGGCCCTTCTGCATTGTTCTTTCACCAAGGAGATTACCACACTCGCATTAGGAAGCTTGTTCAAACCTCTCTTTCTCCTGAAACAATCCGAAAACTGATTCCCGACATCGAAACCGAGGTCAATTCCGCTTTGGAATCGTGGGTTTCTGGTGGAAAAGTCGTTAACGCTTTCCAAGAAATGAAAAAGGTTGGTTTGGTTCTTACCAAGGTTATGTTTGTATTACTAGCTAGCTAGTTTAATTTCTCTGTTATGTTTTGTTTTTTTGAGAAGTGTCTTTTGGTTTATCTCTGTTACATAATAATTAATGCTATATCTATTGTCTTATTCAATACTTTTATTGCATGGCGTTGAATTTTGTTTTCATTTGTTGGCTCCTCATAAATTTTATTGTCACTGGGTCCTCCATTATTGTTTGGTGAACATGATTTTCTAACTTATGGCTTTCCTTCACCCTTCACAGTTCTCTTTCAATATTGGCATCCTCTCTGTCTTTGGTAACTTGGAAGGAAATTATAGAAAGCAGCTTAAGGAAAACTACAGCATAGTAGAGAAAGGCTACAATTCTTTCCCAACCAGAATACCGGGAACTGCACACTCCAAAGCACTCTCAGTAAGTTGCACTTCACATTTGATTAATTATATGGTTTTTAATAGTCGAAGAAAATTATTTGTACGTTGTTTATGTTTCTTTTCTCTGTCTAATGAATATTTTCTTTTGAAATGATTTAAAGGCTAGGAAGAGAATCAGAGAGATTATAAGTGAGATAATTTGTAAGAGAAAGGAGCAGAGATTGATCGAGAAGGATCTATTAGGCCACTTGCTGAACTACAAGGATGAAAAAGGCCAAACACTAACGGATGAACAAATTGCTGATAATGTAATTGGGGTATTATTTGCAGCTCAGGATACTACAGCAAGTGTTCTAACTTGGATTCTCAAGTATCTTCATGATGACCAGAAACTTCTCGAAGCAATAAAAGTAAGAGTTGCTTAATTATGTCCCCCCAAGAAAAAAGATTTCCAAATCTATGTAGGCCATGAGTGTTGAAAATGTATATTAATTAATGAGTCAACATAACTGTATTGGCAGGCAGAGCAAATGGCAATATATGAACTCAATCAAGGAGGGAAGATGACATTGACATGGGGTCAAACCAGAAATATGCCAATTACTTATAGGGTATGGTTTATAATATATACTGCTGTAAATGTTATGCAAAATAATTCCTAGTTTGGGTTTAATTTAAAGCAACTTCATGAATATATTTCTCATAGGTTCTTGTATTGTAGGTGATATTGGAAAGTCTGAGGATGGCAAGCATCATATCATTTACTTTTAGGGAAGCTGTGGTTGATGTTGTATACAAGGGTAAGTATTTCGGAGGGAAATTTCTTTTACCTCTACATTTATAGGAAGTTTAATTTTCAAAGGCTCAAACAATTTCCTACATGATTTCTAAAATGTTCTTTCGTGCTACTGTTAAGGTTATCTTATACCAAAGGGTTGGAAAGTAATGCCACTATTCAGGAACATCCATCATGATCCAGAATTCTACCCTGCTCCTCACAATTTTGACCCATCAAGGTTTGAGGTACGCTATGCCTAACATTAATGAGTTAGTCCATTACTTAGTCAAACAAATATTAAAAATAAATAAAAATAAACTCTATATATAATATATGCTTCTGAAATATATATATTTCAATTCTGGATGGTTGCAGGCTGCTCCAAAGCCCAATACTTTTATGCCATTTGGCAACGGAGTTCACTCTTGTCCAGGAAATGAGCTTGCCAAGTTGAACATGCTGATTTTAATTCACCATCTAGTGACCAAATTTAGGTACTTCATTTTGTCACACATTTTGATGTAACTTTATTTTTTTCTTCATATTTTATTTGTATCTGCAATATCATCATCAGAAATTCAGAATGCTCATTCGGTTGTGTTCAATAATTTGGTTGGCAGGTGGGAAGTGGTGGGATATCAAAGCGGAATTCAATATAGCCCATTCCCAGTCCCTATGCATGGTCTACCTGCAAGATTTTGGAGAAACTAATAGACTCAAAAGAAGATGATGATATGATAAAATCTTCATCTATTCATGTATAAATTTTTTAGATATTCGGTGCCACTCCAATCTAGATCTTAATTCCTCCTCCTTAACCCAATCAAACCTCCTGTTTTATAGCGAGGATCCAAGTAACCTCATATCTATGCTATTATTATAATTTATAAATGGTGGCATAGCCTAGCACTATTAATTAATCTGAGTGTGTAAGCGGTAGTAATTAATAATAAATATGTTATTAACTCTTGATTTTTGTTTTGGTTCTCTATTTAATGGTCCTGTATAATCTTGTGTAATTTCAAGACTTGTCCTGGATTCCTGTTTATTGGTTTCAAGGAGACTAGACTAGACCCCGTATATGGTCCCTCCATGATATATATAGCTTCAAGATTACTATAATGGACCTATATGGTACGAAGTTTAACTTCATTATTGTCCTTCCATCTCAATTCTCAAATGCCCGTTGATAATTTAAACTTGTAAAGAATGGAATATTAGATCACAATTATAATATTAAAATGGATTCTGATTTCCGAAGAAGGCAAATCCAACACCTATCTCGGATAAAAAAATTTACATTACCATAATAGACTAAATCACTAAAACTAATGCAACGTGGCTCAGTTTGCATGGTTGAGCGTTTCATATTGCTTCACGAGCTGTGACTATGAAAAAGCCACCTGTTGCAATTAATTGGCTGGCTAAAAAAGGAGATGCCCTTAGCCAGAGGGATCCGAAACCTTTAAAGGGCATATGAAGATTGTTTAGGTTGGGTGGAGAGGCGGGGACCAAAACAGTACATAACATTATTGGACCTTATGGATTGGTTGGAGATTTTGAAGCTATTGCCATTGTGGCTTTGCATTTAGATAGTGGACAAAATGTGATTTTCTTAAGGGCACCATCCATTTTGTGGTTAAAGAAAATCCCTACAGTAATAGTTCATATGCTATCAACTATTGTCTTTATCACAGTACATAATTGATGTTATGAATTGATCCCTACCTGATCTTCTTTCCCTTTCTCTTTTCAATTGTGAAAAGCTATCTATCTAACAAAAATGTACTTATTAATAACGATGGGTTAAATTAACCAATAATATCATAAAAAAGGTAAATGGGACTTCTCCCTTGTTGATGATCTCAATCTCCTTATACATTCTCGTCTAGGATCACTCTTTTTATCTGAGTTTTATGCTTTGTTCATAAACTTCTTCATGTTTATTCTTTACAATAATTTCCTGATCTTGGTCCCAGAAATGGAATAATCGTGTACAAGGACCATAAACCATCACTGCTCAAACTGTTCATGAATCTCAATTCATTTGATTGAACAAGTAGTACATGTATAGGAGGAAGTTAAAATAAAGAAACAATAAAAACGGGAGAAAGATAAATATGATTTACAGGAAGACTAGGTATATATCCACAGATATGCTTAAGATAACTGATTAATATGTCAGTGCAATTAATTTAGCCAAACAACAACAGATAACATGATACAATAGCCAAATAATTACAGTGCCCATGTAGAGGATGTGATTAACAAATAATATGAAATTCAACACAACATTGTAGCCAAAATCTGGTTTGTACCGGCCACCTATAATAAGATAGCTAACATAAGGATAATAGTATATTCACGATTATATACCCAAAAAAAAAAAAAGGATATTCATGATTTGCTACATCAAATGATCAATTTCATTCAAAAACAGTTTTCTCAGTGAAATACAAAATGAAACAACCTATGTGAAATATTACATTATAGTACTGGAAACAAGTCTGCACAGAGGAGAGGAATCTTACTTTATTACGTAGCTAAAGCATTATCTGGAATGCATGTTTTGTCAACAATATTAAGATGACACGAGTTTAAAAGAAAAAAAATCAAGTGAATCGAAACATATCCCATCATTGTGCTGTTACATACCACAGTGTTCTTTCCATTTCATTACTACAAAAACAATTGTACAACTAAGCATTCACATGGCACCATCAACATCATTATAGGATCACTTTGTCACTCTTGCCGCTCCCACATGTAATGTTGACGCCACTAGCTTCATCCAACAAAATCAACATAGTCTATTCATGTTCATGACACTTTGGTGCAAGAGCTACCCCTTTATAAAGCGTACTTTTACAGGCACAATTTTTCCAAGATCAATCAAGTAATGAAATGAACCTGAATATGAAAATTGAACGAATGACGAACTTAACTAGTCAAAATTTGAAATGATCAAAAGAGTTAAACATATGTACATTAACTAAAGGAACCGAAGGATACAGCGAGCATGATATCCCCAGTGATGCTAATTGCTAAATAATTACCAGTTTTCCAACTAACTTAGGCACCAACAGATCTACAACGATATATTACAATATATGCAATGTCAATGTTGTACTAGAGTATTTTCAAAAGCATCATTATGTTTCTAATGAGAAAAATATTGGTAAATGATTGAACCAGAATATAGGAAGTGATGCTGACATATTAGTTATTCAGCTAGCCACGCACCCTTAAGAGGATGCAGCCACAAATTTAGCTTTCATAACCCCACTTTTAGAATAGAGAAGATATAATATTGCAACAAACTATCAATATTCAATAGTACAGCACGTCATAAAAGGAAGTTAGTGATAACCATTATGAATATTTATGTTAATTGATTGTGACTACTGGTTACTGGTTAGACAAGCAATACTCCAGATTTATCACCATAACTGATAACACTGACAGTTTCATGAATCCTTGAGCATAATTGAAACATGGAGAATATTAAACTAGAAAAAGAAATCAAGCAAGAGGGGGAAAAAATAAAAAAGACTCTGAAATTCCCAAAAAATGGGTGTGAGACCAAGGCTACAACCCAGAAATTAATAAATAAAGCTCTAACTAGATATACCAGTTATCAATGCTAATTCTAGACTACAACTCTAGGTCTATGTGGTTCTACAAGCATTATCAGCTCAACAATTACATATCAATCTCAAATATCAACTCAAATTCGAAATTTTATAAAACAATATTATCTTGGCAATAAATATTATCAACTACAATCAGCTTCAAGTATTTTCAAGTTTAATAGATCATAGTTTTGATTAAATAATCCTTAGAACCCAAAAAGGGTTTTTATGCCCATTTACAAAACTATCATTTTCAATTAATGTAAGGGAAAATAATTGAGATTATGAGAATAATCGCATGCTATGATTTTTCTTATCTCTTATTCCGTGGCACTATATCACTTATACAAGTCAAGGATTATATAGTTTAACTATTTTATTTTTGGGATAGGATATTCAATTTATGTTTTTTTCTTACTTTCTAAGGGATTATGTCTCCTGCAGGAAAGAGAAGTTAGCTGCAGGTAGTCACATGCGTTTCAAGAGGTTAAAGCATGTGTCACTATAGATAAATTCTCTTCAGCAACAAGAGATTAATAGTGCCATTTTTCTTACCTATCTTACTTACTCATCTTCAAATTCATTAGATCATAATCTCACTTTTTCTCTCTTATCTTGAGATTCTGATCCGATAATATTAAAGATGAGTAAGTAAGGTAGGCAATAAAAAAAATAGGTAGAATAATTTATTTATTTTAGTTTTTGGTAAAAAGGTTTACTGTTTTCAAATTGGCCAAAAATTAGACTTGCAAATTGATGTCGTAGTTATCAAAGTCTGTAGTTGAGAAAGCATTTCAAGTTTTCAACTACACATAAAATCACTCAAATTGAGAATAAAACATCCAATATTCAGGGGGACAAAGAATCCATTTACTATGTGATGATCAGTTAGTGATGTAGGAATGGTTACTCTGCAGTACTAGAAGATGCAGCAGAGCAGGAAGACAAAAAAACGAGAATAATGAACAGTCAGAGATAAAAATAAGATACATCTAGTTCATTGCAGGAGATAAGTGTAAAGTTCTCAAGGTTTTAAACTGAAACCATATCAATATTTTTAGGGATGTAGATTTCTCCTTACAAGAGAAAAAATGTTTCTTCTTCCACAGACATAATACAAAGGTGTGGCCCAACCTTTGTATTAGAAAAATTCTTATAACCCATATTTTTACCTGGTTGAAGCTCAGCAAGACAATCTAATATCTTGATTAAATCAACAGCAGTTGGACCAAGGGCCTATTGGGCCGGACCCAATACCATTCCAATCAATCCATGGTCAACCTTACAAGCCCAACAACCAATGATCTAAATCTAATATCAGGCCATCCAACCCGACCGACCTGGTCAACCCGAATCCAAACACGAACTAGAGATGCACTGATTCTAGAAGTTGTGTTTGTTATGGTTTTGGACACCTGGCATCAGAAGATTGGCTGAGTGTACTAAAGAGTCCCCACCTAGTATCATGGCAATGAAGACAATTATCAAGGGGTTTTGTTTGTATTAGTGGTAGGTCTAATTATCAAGGTCTATGGATAAGCTAATTTCAAATTAGTTTTCTGTCTTTGGTCACTTGGAGTGCAATTATAGATACCATCTTAAGGAAAATTACAGCTACTGCATACTAGAGCAAGCTACAATTCTTTTTATTTAGGAGGTGGGGTTTCAAAAGAAACGCAATATATATGGAATTAGTTAACCAATTTAGAAATAATAGGAACAGGGAACAGAGTACATGGAGGGTGGAGCAATAAAAATCTTTGTTACTAGAAACAGCCAACATAATAATAATCACTATAACGATCACAATGCAAATGTCTAAAGGACAAACATCTCTAATACGAATAGTGTGACCTCTACTCTGGAAGCCACCACGAGATCCTATGAGAGGAAGCGAACCACCACCTTCTAACCGACGTCGTTTATGGCAACTCAATCTGACAAGTTCTTACGACTACAAGAACCTTGAATTAGGACGGGCAAAGGGAAGAGACGCTAACTCTAAACGACGACGACGCGCCGATGATGAAAGAGAATCTTACTATAAAAGTGTAAACTAACAAGTACTAACTCACCTTGCACGATAATACTCTTCAGACACTGCAATAGTAGCTAACATTCTTGCATTACCATTACAAACTTTTTTCACAAATTGTATTCAGCGTGTCATCGATCGTATACTCTTAATTAAAGTATGACTGATTATATTTAATATAATTAGTAAATAAAAAATTTATAAATATAATTTTTTCTGTCATTATATATTTAAATTAAAGAGTTTATTTACAAAAAAAAAATT